TTAAAAAACTATATTATTCAAGCAACCTCAAAAATTATAAACATTTAAGATTTTTAAGAACATCTCTTCTAAATTTATATTTAGCATATTTCTCAATAAATTCTATATCATTTTTCTTATAATTATATAATGAACAAAAAGTGTCATATTTTTTCCATGAAACCCATATAGCCTAATCCCCTTCCAGTTTCCTACAGTGAGCCCATAAAATAACATAATTTTTCTCTGTTTGCCATGATATTAAAAAGGTTGAGAAGTGTTGCCTGATCCCTGGAGAAGTAATATATGTCCCATCCATGCAGTTGCTTTCATGGTCCTTAAGATTTTACACAATTATATATCACAAGCCTCTACCAGTTCAGGATCATTTCCCCCACATATAGAGCTACCATGTTGCCCCTCCACTTAAAGAGACCATGGCGTTTGGAATGTCTTCCCTTCCACTGTTTGGGCCAGCCTTCCAAGACACTCTCTGAGCAGCAAGATCTCAGCCCTGGGCCTTGGGCAGCAAATTTCACAGCCGTGGACACCAAATTCTCAATTGTAGTGGTTGTTGAGGTGTGACAGCTTCTTCCTCAGTACCACTACTAATTTACATCTTTTGAAAGAGGGTGTCAGAAGCCTGCCTTGGCCAGGCTAGAAGAGATAATGAGGTGGAAATGATAGAAGTCACCTACTTTTCCTGTTGGTCTGAGGCAGAGAAACCCCTAAGCTGCTGGACCTTCTAGAAATAAGGGCCTATCTCTGGATCACCAGATACTATGTACAGAAGGCATATATTTGGGAGTGAGTCATCAGCATGTAGATAGTAGCTGGAACCATGAGATTATAAGAAATCTCATAGGGAGATTATAGTATAAAGTGGGATGAGAAAAGGATCCAGCAAAGGGCCCTGAGGGAGGAGCAGTTGAGCTGTGGGGTAAAGAAGAGGAGCAGCAAAGAAGACGGAGTTGGAGCAGACATATATGCAGAAGGAGCAGAAAGACTGGAAGTGTGAGTGCCCTGAGTAGTCCTGAAAATCAAGGGTAACAAAACTCATAGAAAAAGGAGCAAGAATCTTACTCTGTCCTTCACCTTAGTCCCATAGATAAGATGAGCCCCTTACCTGTCCAATAGTGAGATTCCTGCATTCCTTTCTTTCTCCCCCTTGACTTAAATCTCAGAATTTTCTTTTTATCTCTCTCCTCATTATAGTATTTCCCTCCTTTTCCAATGACTCATCAGCACAACACCTTGGGCTCACCCTGCATCAGTCATCTGAGGAGGCAGCGAGTCTCTCCAATTTATCATGACAGCTTCATCTCATTCTACCTCAGCTTCCAGATGTTCATATTGGTTGCAGGTAGGAATATGGGAGTCTGATTCTCTGATATGAAAGGAAAAGGAAAAGGTAAAAGGGAGGGAAGCTGGAAGACAAAGTTTGACAAAAATACAAATGCTACTTTCAACAAGAAAGTTTTTAAAAGCAGAAACAAAAAAGAAAAACAAAATGAAATACAAATGCTATGAGATCCTGGGGAAAGTAAAGAAGTTAACTTTATTCCACTTACTATCAGGCAGTGTACTGGCATTTTTACTTGTATCTCCTGGTCCAGGCCTGCTGGTGTGTGTGTGTGTGTGTGGTGTGTGTGTGTACACCTGAGTACAAATGTACAAATGTGCATGTGGTGGGGCAAAGATTGAAAGAAAGTAAAAGAGCTTCAAATGGTAATAAAGAAGCATTAGAGCCACAAGATAATGTAGAATAATTTTGGGGAAAAATTAGCTTGTATGCCCCAATTTCTCATTCCATGCTCCTGGCAAACAGTAATAATGATTCTCACATATCTTTACCACTGAGCTGCTTCAGATTTTTTCTCAACACAGTCATCCAACTATCCATTCAGAGCCATCAGAATTCCTCCCTCCTACTGACAAGGACAGAACCTGAGCTGAAGAAGTTAGCATGTCTATTCCCATTTCCTGCAGTCACATTCCTCAGGTCCCTCCCCACAGGGTGAATTAAGTGAGGATCTTAGGGCCCAATTTTTCTAAGTCTTCACATGAGGATATGTTTTTCACTGAAGGAAGATAGAGAAAGAGAGAGAAAATCGATGTAAGAGAGAAGTATCAATTGGTTGCCTCACTTATGTGCCCTGAAGGGGGACTGGTAATCAAACCTGCTACCTGGATATGGACTGTAATCAGTAATCAAATTGGACACCTTTGTCTGTATGGGATGATGCTTCAACGGAGTCACACCAGCCAGGGCTAGGGCTCAAGATTTAAAGGGGCACTTGCTTTCAGGATCTTGAGGACCCAGCACCTGTACCCAAAAGTGAGTGCCTCCTCAAAATTTGGGCCCTAAGCCTTTTGCTTGCCTCATTCAGCAAGGCCTAGACATCCTATTTCCAATATCTCCAACTATCTCCTAGCTCTGTGTGTATATTAAGGTTAGAACAGAGATCCTCAAGATTCAGCAACTATCCCATTTCAGATCTGGTCCCCAGTAGTGGGTTACGATGAAAATAGCCAATCATATATGTAGTCAATACACTTTCATTTGTCCTCAGCCCACCCTGACTCTATCTCTATTTTCTTTCCAGGATCATTCCAAGTCCAGGGCCCCCATGAACCCATGGTGGCCATGCTGGGTGGTGAAGCTGAGCTGCCCTGCAGCCTTGAGCCTCATCAAAATATTAAATATATGAAAATAAGCTGGACCAGAACCTTACCCTCCCAGGTGGTGCACCTGTATGAGGATGGGCGGGACAAGCCTGAGAAAGCCATGGAAGAGTATTTAGGGAGGACAAAGCTTGTGAAAAATGCCATGCATAAGGGGATCGTGATCCTGAGAATCCTCAATGTCCAAACCTCTGACAGTGGGCAGTATCGCTGTGTGATCCAACATGGCTCCTTCTACAGTGATGCAGTGATTGAGCTGAAAGTGGCAGGTAACGGCCCATGTTTATCCCCTTGACACCTCACAGGGCCTCCTTTCTCTGATCCAGTTTTACTAGGAAATATAAAGAAGTCATAGGAAAAAGGGAGATGGCCATTATGTCTACTCACCCCATCATCCATATATCACTGCTTGGGACTAAATAAAAGATAATAAAGAGACTCATAGTGGGAGTCAAGAAATAGGCAGGGGCCATTTGTCTTGGACTGTGTTGGAAATCTTTCTAGCCCAGGAGTCTAAGCCCCCATCTTTGTTGCCAACACTTCTTCAGAGTTCTGTGTTCTGAACACTGAGGTCTAGTCTGCAGCATAAACTCTTTAGAAGCAGGGGAGGGATATATGTGCAGGAAAATGAGCTTAGGACCTGACTTCTCTCTCTTCCTCTTCCCAGCTCTCGGCTCACGTCCTCAATTCCACATGGAAGTCACTAAATCTTGGGAACTCCTATTAGTGTGCAAGTCAGAGGGCTGGTTCCCTCAGCCAAAGGTCCAGTGGATGGACTCTGAGGGAGGAGAAATTCCAGCTGAGTCTAAGACTCACACCCAGGACAAAGCCGGCTTGTTCCATGTAACAACATCACTGTTACTCAGAGAAGCTTCTCAGAAGAATCTGACATGTTCTGTCTGGGACCCAGTTCTAAATCAAAAAAAGGAAGAGCAGTTCTTCATAGCAGGTCAGTTTTTCTCTCCCCTCACTGTGCCCACAAAATGGGCCTGATGCTCACACCCATGGTGGTGGCAGCTCTAAGCATATCAGCTCAGTTCTGCTCTCTTCATCATGCCTACACCAGTCTCCCTGCCAGGATCCAACTTCCCTCCACTTTTTCTGCCTTTTCCCATCCTTTCCTGACATATTTTCCAGTCTTCACCAGTTAAGCTCTCCATAGAATTGGACCTTTTTGTCTTAGTCCATTCAGGCTGGTATAACAAAATACCACAGACTAAATGGCTTATAAATGACATAATTTTATTTCTCACAGTTCTGAAGACTGAAAGTTCAAGATCAGGAGGTCAGCACATTCAGGCTCTGGTAAAAGCCCTCTTCCAGGTTGTGATAACCAACCTTTCTTTGTGTCCTCATAACGTAGAAAGGATAAGGAGCTGAGGGGGATATAAGGTGGTCTCCTTTATAAGGATACTAATTCCATTCATGAGTTAAGAACCTCACATTGGGCATTAGGATTTCAGCATATGAATATTAATGGGACACAGGCGTTCCAACCACAGCACTCTTCACCAAAAACCATTTTCAGACTTACTCCTTACTAGCGCTCCAATAGGTCAATCTCTCCTGCTTCTCAGTTTACAATGTTTCTCCTCAGTCTTTTTATGCTGTATTCTTTCTCTATTTAGATGAGCTGTTGCAAAAATGCTATGAGCCTAAACGTAGATCAAGTCCTGTTGACATGCAGGACTTGATCTACCTTGTGAAATATATATGTAGCCGAAACCGGTTTGGCTCAGTGGATAGAGCGTCGGCTTGCGGACTGAAAGGTCCCAGGTTCGATTCCGGTCAAGGGCATGTAC